CCTGAGCCGAAGGCAGAGGCTTTATCCCACTGAGCCACCCAGGCGCCCCTTTTTGGGAGATTTTTAATGACTGCTTCAATCTCCTTACTGGTTATGGGTCTGTTCAGGTTTTCTATTTCTTCCTGGTTCAGTTTTGGTAGCTTGTATGTCTCTAGAAATGCCTCCATTTCTTCCAGATTGTCCAATTTGCTGGTGTATAGTTGCTCATAATATGTTCTTACAATTGTTTGTATTTCTTTGGTGTTGGTTGTGATCTCTCCTCTTTCATTCATGATGTCATTAATTTGGGTCCTTTCTCTTTTCTTTTTGTTAAGTCTGGCTAGGGGTTTATCAATCTCATTAATTCTTTCAAAGAACAAGCTCCTAATTTTGCTGATCTTTCTACTGTTCTTTTGGTTCCTATTTCATTGATTTCTGCTCTAATTTTTATTATTTCTCTTCTCCTGATGGGTTTCAGCTTTATTTTCTGTTCTTTCTCCAATTTCTTTAGGTGTAGACTTACGTTTTGTATTTGAGCCCTTTCTTGTTTGTTTGTTTGTTTCTTTCTTTTTTTATTAACATATACTGTGTTATTTGCCCCAGGGCTACAGGTCTGTGAATCATCAGGCTTACACATTTCAAAGCACTCACCATGGCCTATACCCTCCCCAATGTCCATAACCCAGCCACCATATCCCTACTCCCCTACCCACCAGCAAGCCTCAGTTTGTTTTGTGAGACTAAGAGTCTTTTATGGTTTGTCTCCCTCCTGATCCTTTGTTTCATTTATTCTCTCCCAACTGCCCTGAATCCCCTCTTTCTTGTTTCTTGAGAAAGGCTTGTATCACTATATACTTTCTTCTCATGGCCGTCTTTGCTGTGTCCCAAGAATTTTTGACAGTTGTGTTTTCATTTTCATTTGTTTTCCATGAACTTTTAAAAAATTCTTCATTCATTTTCTAGTTGACCCATTCATTCTTTTATAGGATGCTCTTTAGCTTCCATGTATTTGCATTCTTTCCAACTTTCTTCTTGTGACTGAATTCTAGTTTCAAAGCACTATGGTCTGAAAATATGCAGGGAATCTTCCCAATCTATTGGTACTGGGTGAGACCTGATTTGTGACCCAGGATGTGATCTACTCTGGAGAATGTTCCTTGTGTACTAGAGAAGAATGTGTATTCTGTTGCTTTGATGGAATGTTCTAAATATATTTGTGATGCCCATCTAGTCCAGTGTGTCATTTAAAGCCTTTATTTCCTTGTTGATCTTTTGCTTAAATGACCTGCCCATTTCAGTGAGGGGGCTGTATTACTGTCAATGTGTTTCTTTGATTTTGTCATTGTCTTACATAATTGGCTGCTCCCATGTTAGTGGCATAGATATTTAAAATTGTTAGATCTTGTTGGACAGACTCTTTAAGTATGATATAGTGTCCTTCCTCATTTCTTATCATAGTCTTTGGTTTAAAACCTAATTTGTATGATATAAGGATTGCCACCCCAGCTTTCTTTTGATGTCCTTTAGCATGGTAAATTGTTTTCTAGAGGTGTCTAGAGTCTAAAATGAGTTTCTTGTAAACAGCATATTGATTTTTTTTTAAAATCCATTCTGATACCCTGTGTCTTTTGATTGGGGCATTTATCCCATTTACATTCAGGGTAACTACTGAAAGATATGAACTTAGTGCCTTTGTATTGCCTATAAGATGACTGTTATTGTATATTGTCTCTGTTCCTTTCTGGTCTATGTTACTTTCAGGCTTTCTCTTTGCTTAGATGTCCCCTTTCAATATTTCCTGTAGGGCTGGTTTGGTGTTTACAAATTCTTTTAATTTTTGTTTGTCCTGGAAGCTTTTTATCTCTCCTTCTATTTTCAATGACAGTCTAGCTGAATATAATATTCTTGGCTGCATATTTTTATCATTTAGTGTCCTGAATATATCATGTCAGTCCTTTCTGGCCTACCAGGTCTCTGTGGTTAGGTTTGCTGCCAATCTAATATGTCTCCACTGTAGGTTACAGACTTCTTGTCTAGAGCTGCTTTCAGAATTTTCTGTCTCCGAGGCTTGTAAGTTTTAGCATTAGATGATGGGCCGTTGACTTATTTTTATTGATTTTGAGGTGGATTCTCTGTGCCTCCTGGATTTTGATAACTGTTTCTTTCCCCATATTAGGGACGTTCTCCAATATAATTTGGTCTGATATACCTTCTCTGCCCCTCTCTCTTTCTTCTTCTTCTGGGATCCCAATTATCCTAACATTGTTTCATCTTATGGTATCACTTATCTCTCAAATTCTCTGCTTGTGATCCAGTAATTATTTCTCTTTTTCTTGGCTTCTTTATTCTCCATCATTTGGTCTTCTATATCACTAATTCTTTCTTCTGTATCATTTATCCCAGCTGTTAGAGCCTCCATGTTTTGTTTTTTTTTTTGTTTTTTTGTTTTTGTTTTTTTTGTTTTGTTTTTTTTTTTGTTGTTGTTGTTGTTTTTGTTTTGCACCTCATTAATAGCCTGATTTCAACTTGGTTAGATTTTAGTTCATTTCTCCAGAAAGGGATTTTCTAGTATCTTCTATGGCTTTTTCAAGCCCAGCTCTTATCTTTAAAATCATCCTACTGAACTCTAGTTCCAACATCTTACTAATGTCTATATTGATTAGGTCCCTGGCAGTTGGTACTTCCTCTTGCTCTTTTTTGAGATGAGTTTTTCTGTTTTGTCATTTCGTCCAGAGAATAATAGAAGAATGAGAAAACAAAATGCTAATAGGGTAACAACATCCTCAGAAAAATATACACTAAAGAAATCAGAAGAGACCCAAAACCAGGGAGAAAAGAAAGGAAAACAAAAATATGATCAGGCTGGTGAACAGAACAGAGTCACACCCTAGATTTTGTGTGTATTTTGGTCTGTTAGAAGAAACTGTCTCTCAAAATGTTAAAGAAAAACATATATACAAAAATAAGGGTAAATACAATGAAGGGATGGAATATGATTTATAAAGGTGAAAAAGATTTCAAAAAAGGAATCAACTTCGTTGAAAAAAAATTTAGAAAAAAAAGAGAATGTGATCAGGCGGGAGACTAGATTCACTAGATTCACTAGATTTAGAGTATATTTTGGTCTCTTATTTGAGACTGTATACCACAAATTTAAAGAAAGAAAAATGTATATATAAAAAGAAATAAGGTTAAACACAATGAAGGGATAGAATACGATTGTAAAAATGAAAATTAAAAAAGGTTTTTAAAGAGGAATTGATAAGATATTGGTTAGAATAGAAAAGAAGAAAAATTTAAAAAAAATAGAAAAAGAAAAAATAAAGAAAATTTTAAAAATTAACTTTGAAAGACTAGAGAACCATGGGGAAAAAGCCATGAATTCTATGTGCTGTATTCACCTAGTGCTGGGGTTTTGTAATTTTCATTTATCAGTAAACTTAGCCTTGGCCAGATGTTCTTGCTGATCTTCTTTGGGAGGGGCCTTTTACAGTGATTCTCAAATGTCTTTGCCTAAGGTGGAATTGTACAGCCTTTGCCAGGGGCCGGCTACGCAATCTTCTTGGGTGTGCTCTCGGTAAGTTTTGTTCCCTGAATGCTTTCCGTATAGCTTTGGAGGACAAGAATGAAGATGGCGGCCTCCCAGTCTCTGACCCAGTGGAGCCGAGAGCTCAGGGCCCCACTCCTCAGTGCGCCCTCAGAGAAAAGCAGTCAATCACTTCCGTCTCCCTGGTCTCTGGCTGCACTATGTGCTCACCTGGCCTATAACCAAGCATTTCTATCTCTGGCACAAGGCCTCTTTTGGAGTCTCCAAACCCAGCAGATTCCCGCAGTGCACTCTCGTGCTGTTCCTCCCAGGGGAAGGTGAGTCTCCCTGGATCTGCTGCTTGTGGGATCCCTGCTTGAAGAGTAGTGGCTCAACTGTGAAGTGGATCATGGTTTATGGCAACCCTGAGCTGATAACCCTCTCCCTGGCTCCATCTCTGCAGCCAGCTTCTCTGCTCTGATACCTGGGAGCTCTGCTACACCCAAGGACCCCCAGTCTTTCTGTGACTCCAAGGAACCTGAGACCACACTGTCTCAGTGAGGACTCCACCCCCCACCTAGCTACTGGGGCCACAACCCTGCATGGAGCAGACTTCTAAAAGTTCTGATTTTCTGCTCTGCTGCTCTCTCATTTCCCAAGAGCCAGTCCCCCTGCCCCCTGCAGTCTATCTTCTTGTACATCACCTTAGATTGACCTCTCCGCACGTCCTACCTTCTGTAAAGTGGTCGCTTTTCTGTTCATGGAATTGCTGCTCTTCTTCTCTTCTATCTCCTGTTGAGTTTGTAGGTGTTCAGAATGGTTTGATAACTATCTAGCTGAATTCCTGGGACCTGATGTAATTTAGGTCTTCTACTCCTTTGCCATCTTACTCCCCCCACCCCCAAGAACATAAAGGTTTTAATTATGTCTTGTCTCCAGAAAAGCACACGTCTTTAATAGTGGATTAATAACAGTTCCAATAACTAATGGCTATCCAGGAAGAGGTGGGCAACCATTTGTTTGGATAGGATACAACTGGATAATTACATCCTATCACAAGTAAGCAAAATCCAGGTGTGCTAAAAGAGGAAGGATTATTTTCAGTAGTATAATATGCAAAAAGACAGTCACTCTTGTGAGAATGAAACTAGAAGATCAGCAAATGAAGAAAAGCACAGCGGAGTCAACTATTATGTTATTACACATCAGGCACTCTATATACGTTGCTTTATGTGATATCCATGACACTCTCATGCAGCACCTACAGGCGCCTTCACTTTGTAGAAGAGAGTGGACACTCGGAGAGGTGAAATAATTTGTCCTAGAGTCATATTCCTGACCCAGGCCTGCTGACTCCCCAGTCATGGGTCTTTTAGTTCTCTATGCAAATTATTATAGAAAGAACTTACCAGAAGAAGAGCACATAATATTTTTGCTGACAACAAGGCAGCTATAAGCTGCCATGATAGAGTGAGTCACTGTGGATTCAACTTACTTCAGGGAGGAATCCCCAACACCAATGCAGCCTCGCAAGCTGAGCTTCCTCAGGAATCCACCGCATCGCTTGGAGATATTTTCCACCACTCGACCCTGGAATCAAAAAAGTCAGAAAAAAATATTTTTCATGCTGCTTATCTAACAGCATGATAACATGAAATTTAGAAATGGAATATATTTTTTCCAGGTGTAATGAAGCCATTTTGGAGCATTCCTCCAACACTCCACTGTTCCTAAAGAAGCTGCAAGCATTGAAAAATGTTTTCAATAAAGCATTAAGTATTAAAAAAAAAAAACTTAGTGCACTGTATTTTGGCAGCTTTAACCCTGGAGCTAGGCCTCCCCTACTCAGGGCTCAGAGCTACTGCACCAGTTGCAAGGTTTTTTGAGGTCAGCTGTAGGAAAACTGGCTTCTAAGCAGCAATCTAAAACAACATTGCTCAAAAAAAAAAAAAAAATTCTATTTTAGCTAAACATTACCACTCTAAAAGTTTGCAAATGTTTTATAAAAGTTCCCCCTCATCCTCCTTAGCAATCACGTATAAACACATTTGCTTTGAAATAGGAAACTTGGCTGGATACTGGCAGATACATTAAAAGAAAAAAATGAACACTGATAAAGCACTTTCACTTTTTCGGGCACGATTTTAACACTTTCTTGTACTTATTATGGCTCAGTTACTATTCCCAACAACTTCATGGTCTACTACTCCACAATGGAGACAATGAAGAGTATGTCTGGAATACAAATCTTTCAGGTCATCTCTTGTAACATTACCATGCACTGTGATTCAAGTCAATGTAAAACTACAAATCAATCCAGGCAGGACTACCAATGGTCCTTACACTTCAGGAATGATGGTTTGGGTTACTCTACTAGGTAGAGAACCATGACCAGCTGGGGTGCTTGCTGCAAAGGGAACACAGAATGGGAAGTAGAAGAAGACAGCTGAAAATATCAACTACCATCATGCAACCCATTACAGAAATGAAAACTCTGTCATGAATGCTTCTCCTTATTTTGTTATGAGTATGTGTGTATGTAAAGCCAATACATTTGTTTTCTTACCTCTTCTCTTCCCTTATGTAAAATAAGATGTACTGACATCATATCAAGTGTTTAAGTATCATTAATTCTATATCATACTATTTAAGATACAGGATATGAAGAAGAGTGAACATCACTCAAGGACATTCTCTCTTCTTTTGAGGAAGGAGTTAGTGTGTTTCTGGTTGTACACTGGATACTTGTACCACATTAGGTTGAATTTGGACCTTGTTATTTTCTTTATTTGGAGATTAAGTATGGCTTAAGGTGATACATATGGGTGCCAAGTTGACAAGGGGTGAACGTTTGATAATTAATCTGATGCATCAACTTGACTGGACCACAGAATGTGCAAACATTTGGCCCAACAGTATTCTGTATGAGTCTGTGAGGGTATTTCTGGATAAGATTACCACTTGAATCAGTAGAGAGAGAAAAGTCGCAGTGGGTGGGCCTCATCCAATCAACTGAAGACCTGAATAGAATAAAAAAGGCTGAGTAAGAGGGAACTCGCCATGCGTGACTGCTTGAGCTAAGACAGTGGTCCTTTATGGCCTTTGGACTGGGATGAAAAACATCAGTTCTTCTTAAGTCTGGAACCTGTCAGCTTTCAGACGAATCTACCCCATGGGCTCTGCTGGTTCACAGGTCATACTGGAGCTCCGTATCAGCTCTCTTGGGTCTCCAGCTTCCCGACTGCAGATCTTAGGACTTCTCAGCCTCCATAATCACATGATCCAATTCCTCAATATAAATTTCTGTGTTTGTATACATACAGACCCTATTAATTTTTTCTCTGGAGAATCCTGACAATTAACAGAATGGATTCAAACCTTCATTTAGCAAATAAAGAAATTAAATGGTCAAATTGCCAAGGTTACACTTTAGTGAGTAGTAGAGTTAGAGTTCTAACAGAGTTACTTGATTCTAAAGGCTGCACAACTACTCTTCCACAAGGGAGGAAATACTGAAAGAGGACCATTTGGGTCTTTAAAAAAAAGCTATTATCCTCACTTTATAACATGGCAATCTTGACACTGAACTGTAAGCACTAAGCATTCACTAGGACACATCAAACCACAGGATCACAGGAGCAAGGCTCACACATATTGTTACCTGGCTAACATCTTAAGATGAAAATCTACACTCTGATATTGTTAGCAGCTTTATTTATGCTTTCTTGAGTATTCCCTAAGTTAATAAATCGTTGTCACTGGAGGTGGGGAAGCTTATAACTTGGAAATCTAAGATAAACATTCAAGTAAAAAATAAAACAGCGAAAACCCTTCCATACCAACATCTACAAATGAGGTACACAACATATTTTTCTCCATTTCAAGTTGGTTACATTTATATAAGCTTTCTATTCTTCCTTTCTTTGGAGTAAAAGTTTTGGATCTCAGATTAAAAAAAAATTACATTCAGAATTTTCTGCTCTACTGTTTACAACGAAGAAAAAATGAGCACATAGTTTCCAAATGCAAAATTCAAGTCAATGACTGTGTATTATCCATTTAGATAGTATGTTGAATGATGATGTAAGTATGATAATTTCGGAATGAACAGCTTTAGAGAAAAATAAGGCCTAAATGGAGAGACCTTTGGAATTATAACTTTTAGATTAGCATGCTACTTGGTTATTTCTTATTTTTGGCCTGGTGGAATCTTTTTTTTTTTTTAAAGATTTTATTTATTTATTGTCAGAGAGAGAGAGAAAGAGAGAGAGAGAGAGATCACAAGTAGGCCGAGAGGCAGGCAGAGGCAGAGGCAGAGGCAGAGGGAGAAGCAGGTTCCCTGCCGAGCAAGGAGCCCGATGTAGGACTCGATCCCAGGACGCTGGGATCATGACCTGAGCTGAAGGCAGCCGCTTAACCAACCGAGTCACCCAAGTGTCCCTGGTGGAATCTTTATTAACCATGAAGACACTGACAAAAAATGTCCAACTTTTAAAGACATGGAAAATGCCTAAACATCAGGGTAACAATACTGAATCAGGAAAGAGTGATGCTCAAGGAAAGGCACAATGTACACTTGTCATCTGGATGCTTTATTCTACCTTTTCTCTGAAACACAACGGTCACATAACCCATTGTGTTCACGGTACCTACTGTTTCCTCCTAACTGACTGAACTACCCAGGAATCCCCCTACTGTTTCCTCTTATTAGATGAATGACCTTGGGTAAGTTACTCAAACTTTTTGTGCCTCAGTTTCTTCAATATGGTGTTTTTGAGAAAATTAAATGGATATTTGTAAGCTACTTAAATAGTGCCAGGCACATAGTAAATAGTTAGTATATTAATCCTGAACCTTGGTACATTCTCTTTCTCTCAACATACCCATAAATCCTCATTTTCATCCCAAAGAAATAATTTTAGGTGGTCAGTTTATCCATGGAATGCTTCCTGGGGTGAGTATCCAATGGGTCCTATTTAAAGAACACAGGGGACTCTGACACTTGGTTCATAATCCAGTCTGGATTCAAGTTGTTAGCCCCGAAAGGGGAACTAAATAATATTAGGCTAGACTAATACTAATATGGTGCTATCTATTTTAAGTTTTCACATGTAGGGGCACCTGGGTGGCTCAGTTGGTTAAGCATCTGATTTCTGCTCAGGTCATGAAACTGGCTGGGGTCCTGGCATCAAGTCCTACATCAGGCTCCAAATCTGCTTCTCCCTCTGCCCTTCACCCTGATCATGCTCTCTTTCTCTCTCTTGTTCTCACTCTCTCTGTCAAATAAATAAATAAAATTTTAAAAAGAAATTTTTACATGTAATTCTTTATATAACTGGTTACCCATAAACTAGTCTTTCCTTTAGTAGAAGTACTCGTAAGTCTTTCTACAATGTATTTATATAGCTATGATCGGCCGTAAGCTAAAATTCTGAAATCAAATAATATACAAGGTAGTGCTATTTACTTGAAATAGTAGCTTTTAAAATCTGAATTTAAAAGTTTTATATATGCCTTTCAAAAAGTTGTATAGTTCGGGAAAATCATCAAAGAAAACTGAGGGGACAATAAGAGCCACAAAAATAATAATTTGCAAGAATTTTAAAAAACAATGACTTTCCTTTGGTGAGCAGAAATGACCACAATTTTTGGAATTTAATGTGCTTCTCAGCATCACTAAGTAAACACAATGAACAAAGATCTAGAGATTATCAGTTTGAAGAAGAATCGCAGGTCAGCATGTTTGGGTGGGGCACTGTGGAATCACTGCTATTAAGCCTGGAAAGAGCATTACAGAACTCCTAATCCAGGGACCATAGTCCAAAACAGCAACTGAGCACTTATGTATTCAGGCTGGGTGTGAAGCCCTGAGGTCCCTGACCCTTCCCAATTCAAAACACCATAACATGAGAGGAAACCCACAGTGGGAAACCCTGCGCTCAGCCCCACTTGCTGCAGATGCTCTACTCCACTGGTTTGATAAGGGATCAGACACTCTCCAGCTAGTAAAGTAACCTAGTGAAAGAGGGTAAGGGCCTCCACAACTGATCGTTAGCTCTTCTCAGGTAACACGAGGTTAAATAACTCAGAGGAAATTGTTTGGGCTCATCTTACTATTAGGCATGATTATTTCCTTATCCATTAAAAAAAGACACAAAACATACATTTTGGTAGAAACACTTGATGAAAATGCTATATGAGGAACTGGATTAAAATACAACTCCATGACTACAACTGAATTGGCTAAACTAGAAATGAATAAGATTCTCCCAATGTTGGGCAGATAAACTTCAGAATCTGCACACCCTTAACACAGTAGTCTAGATAATTATTATTTTTTAAAAAAATTTTATTTATTTGTCAGAGTGAGAGGGAGAGCACAAGCAGGCAGAGTGGCTGGCAGAGGCAGAGAGAGAAGCAGGCTTCCCACAGAGCAGGGAGCCCGGTGCGGGTCTCGATCCCAGGACCCCGGATCATGACCTGAGCCAAAGGCAGGAGGCTTAATGGACTGAGCCACCCAGGTGTCCCAGTCTAGATAAATATTGTGTGCAATGAAGATTACTTTCCTCTTTCCTTTTCATTATAAGTTGATATTTAATCTAAAAGTTGTTTTAAAATAAACTTTTCTCATTTGGTCAGGCTTACCACTCTTACATGGGGATATTCACATATTTCCAGATAAATACATGAAAATCCTAGAATTATAAAGGCTTTGAGGATTTTTTTTGCCTCTTTATTTTATAGACAATAAAACTAAAGAACTGAGAGATTATATGGCTTAAGTGGCTGAGCTGCAGTGATATCTCAGGTCTCCATCTTCACTCCTCGACCCATTCTTCTGCCATTTCTCCATTCTTGATGCTGAATTAGAATTCTCAGTGGATCTTTCAGATCAATAAATATTTGTCAGGAGTCTGCTAAGATTAAATCACTGAACTGGGTGTTAATGATGCAGGTTCGGGGCTTTAAAAAGCTAAGTGGCAATACCAAGGCTATAGACATGAACAAGGAGGGAAAGTAGTTTGTTACTGATACAGAGCCAAAGCAAAATACATGCAGAATTTTGGTCTTGATGTACATAGATACCTTCTAGGTTTTTTTCCTTCTCTCCTCCACCCTGATATCTTAATATTAAATCTAGGGGTGCCTGCATGGCTCAGTAGGTTAAGCCTCTGCTTCAGCTCGGGTCATGATCTCAGGGTCCTGGGATCGAGCCCCGCATCAGGCTCTCTGCTCAGCGGGGAGCCTGCTTTCCCCTCTCTCTCTGCCTGCCTTTCTGCCTGCTTGTGATCTTTCTCTCTGTGTCAAATAAATAAATAAAATATTTTTAAAAAATTAAATCTAAATGCAGCAAAAGAAGAAGGCAGGAAAGAGTGACCAGTTTACTTATCTTTTTAAAAAGTCTGTTGTCTAAAAGAAAGCTAACTTACCTCTACATCTGTTTGAAAGTTAAAAAGGTCTATTCTTTGCCAGTTGCTTCCATCCAGGGCTAGGATGTTCCAGGCCTAGGGGGCGGGAGGCAGAGGAGGAGAGATGGGAGTGAAAGAGATATACTGAGACTGTTAATGGAAGTCCTGATTCAACCTCTGTATTTCCAAACTTTTATTCTTGATATACATTAAGTAGACAATCAAATATGGAATTATGATAACACCATGTTATATTAAATGTAAAAGATGACATTTAAAGTTAACTGCTTGGGACACCTGGGTGGCTCAGTTGGTTAAGCATCCAACTCTTGATTTTGGCTCAGGTCATGAGTTTGGGGTCGTGGGACTGAGCCCCGCATTGGCTCTGCGCTAGATCTGGAGCCTACTTAAGAGTCTCACTCTTCCTCTCTCTCCCACTTCCACTGCCCCTCCCCCCACTAGCGCACAGACACGCATGTGCACTTTCTTAAAAACATTAAATTTAAAAAAGTTAACTGCTTGTTTGAACTAAAACTAAAACTCATTCTAATAAAACTCAGTATTTATTGATTGATAAAAATCTGGTTAATACTCTACCTTGGAAATCTGTGCACATCGGCACAAAGTTACTATATCCAAGAAGGAAAATATTCTAGGAAGAAAGGGGAAAAACAAAAAAATGAGATGGTATTAACATTTTAGGATATTTACAACTTGAAAGATAAAATCTAATGCACCATCCTGATATAAGTTTTTTTCAAGATTCCTCAATTTGAAATACACAAGCTCACTATAATTCTGCAACACTACTGTGAAATATCAAATGTTCACATGTTCCAAAGCTGTTTTAGACTCACTACACAAATCCCCTTAAAAAAGAACCTGTTAAACTTTTATGTCACTTGTTCTATGACATGGACTTGGGACAGTAGATCATAATTTATTCTATTAAAAAGCCAACTCTCTAATCTCCTAGACACTAAGCCTGGGGAGAGCTAAATCCTTCTAATTCTAATGTCCCTAGCACACGGTACAAACTCCTTTTCTGTTAACAGATGTACCAAAGAGGTTCAGATGTCTGAGCCTCAAATAACACAGCCAAGAAAGACTCAATGATAAAACCCATTTGGCTTTGATGTATTTGTTCACAGAGCAGAAAGATGGAGTCCATTCATTGGCAAGTTCTATAGTGACCAGTTTTTGCTGAGCAAAAGCCAAGAACCACAGAAGGGGAAAGATGAGGAAAAGAAAAATCAGAGAAGTAAACAAAAACCTAGTAGTGCCCCTAGAGGGAGCAGTAGCTGTCAGCATGGCAGGGGACTGAGTGAAGTCCCAACACGGGCAGTGGAGAGGAGTTGCTGACAATAGCACTGCGGCAAATACCTGCGTGTGTCTCAGCCCTGTGCGGTAACAGCTGCAAACAAAGAGCAGCTTTTCTGAAAGAAGAGAGGTTTATGAGGATGAGGTCAGGGACAATAATAGGATCTCAATTCTCATAGTTCTGGGAGATAAATATGAGAGTTTGTGTCTCTGTGTAGAAGGGGGAAAAGGTAAGATTGCAAACAGCCACCTATAAAGTTCTTCAAACTTCTCCAAAGATAACAATGGTCAGTTGAAAATCCATGGGCTCAGAGAACAATAGCAGATCCATAAAACCCCAGAGCATTGTACCCTACAATAATGCATACACAAGCATTACCACAGGGCTAGTGATGCTACAGGTACCATTCTATAATACAGGCTCCAATCACTTTCTACTGAAAAGTAAAGAATAGAAACATAAGGGCTATACTGACCTTAAAAGATGCAATGGAACTTTGTATATAGAAAAATGTTGGTGGCTAAAAATACGCACTAAAGTATATGCTAAACATGTTTCAGGGTGCCTGCAAACCTACACTGTCTCTATGGAAATACATCTTGTCCCACCCACACGCCTTTCTGCCTCAAACATCCATGTTCTGTGCCATATGACCATTCCACTATGAGCCACAACTCATCACTAGCTCTCTAATAGACCAAGGACCGGAGAGTGAAATGCATATGGTAGAATATTCTGGGGCTGGGTTCTAAAGTAAAAGCCTAGGTGAAAAAGGAGTTAGCCAAGTTTCCCTTGAGAATCCCTTAAGACTGTACCACCTTGGAGACCACATTCTATCACCTCTTCATAAGAACAATTACACTGATATTTAAAAAGGTAGCTAACTTTGATTATGCATTTACTATGTGCTAGCCACAGCTTATGTTAGTCATTTAACTGTCTCAACATTGTTTATTATCTCTTTTTCAGAGAATGAAACGGAGCACAGAAAGGTTAAGTAACCTGCCCAGGCCACACAGATAGTAAGAATAGAGGTAGCGTTTGAAACCAGTTAGTCTGGCTTGAGAGCCCAAGTCTATGACCACTACATATATAGCCTTAGAAAGTTAAACTCAACTGTTTTCACCTCAGGACTGGACTAGATGCTATTTTTTTTTTCAACTGAACAGCTGATAAAGTAATTTTGCTTTGTAAGCATGCTGTATGGAAAACACCTATCTTTGAAAGCTAGGACCACACTAACTGAAGCAAAATGCTCACACATCCAGCCACACATGAGAACCAACAGCTGGAGCAAAAGTTCACATAACTCATCTCAAGCTTACTACCAAATTTTATGGTTACTGAATAAAAAAGCAGATTGCCTTTAATATTTATTTTCCCTCTTCCCATCATCCCATAAATATATGTAGTTGAATTTGCACAAATTAAATAGGCATGATAGGACTCCAAACTACCAAACTGCAGCCTAAGCCAAATTCCTGAAATCATGTTTCAGTGAATAAAATAAATGACTTGAATAACAGCGTGGGACAGTGGCAATAGAGACAGAGATAGCTAGAGGAGTTAAGAGTCATGGTAAATTGAGTTCCAGCCTTTCCAAGCATTTTTTTTTTCCTGGAAATTGCTTCCTACCTCAAATGTGATAACTTCACCCTTCATTAGGAAAGCACTGCAAAGTCAACTTGGTTATCAGCAAATATATAAAGGGATATATAGGAGTGGATATACTTCTGAACTTCGTATTCTATTCCACTGGTCTGTTTGTCTACCTTTGTGCCAATAAGACTGTTTTAATTATGAAGCTTTTTAAGTCTTGAGGTCTGGTAATGTTAAGTCTTTCAATTTTGTTCTTTAAGATTACCTTGGCTATTCTTGATTCTTAGAATTTCCTCTTCCCTTTTAGAATCAGCATGTCAATTTTCACAAGAAAACTTTATGGAATTTTAACTGGGATTACACTGCATTTATAGAAACTTTGAGGAAAATTGAAACCTTTATAATATTAAGTCTTCCAATCCAGAAATGTGATATATTCCATTATTTATTTAGGATGTCTTTAATTTCTCATAGTAATTTTTGTAGTTTTCCATATAGATACTTTCTTCATCTATAGAGTCCCCTGCGCCAGTTATTTGATTTGATTAAAATGGAATTTTAAAATGTCATTTCCTGTGTTGTTTGTTTTTTTTAAGTAAGCTCTACACCCAAGTGGGGCTTGAACTGATAACCTGTTCACCACTTTCCTCCTTCAGATGAAGCCCTGTTAACCATCAATCTTTTTAATGTTTCCACAGTTTTGCCTTTTTCATAATGTAATTACTAGACTCATATAGTATGTGCCCATTCAGAGAGGCATCCTTCACTTAAAGTTTGTCTTTTAGTGGCAAGACAGCTCATTATTTAAATGTTACATTAATATTGAAATATTAATATTAATATTGAAACTGATGTACCAGTTTATCCATTCATCTATTTAAGGTCATCTTACTTGCTTTCAGTTTTGGGAGATTATGAATGATTCTGCTATACATATTTGTATGCAGGTTTTTGTGTAGGTATGTTTTCTACTCAGTTGGATAAATAGCTAGAATTGCTAGATCATGTAACCTTATGTTTAGCTTTGTAAGAAACTGCCAAATTGTCTCCCAAAGTGCCTCCACCATTTTGAAGCTCCACCGGCAATGAATAAGAGTTCCTGTTGTTCTGAATCTTGTCAACGTTTGGTATTGTTAGGTTTTTACATTTAGGCCATTCTAAAGAGGTGTACAGTGATATCTCGTTCAGTTTTTAATTCCTTAAAGACATGATACTAAGCATCTTTTCATATGCTTACTGTCATGTGTATGTCTTCTTTGGTGAAGTATCTAAATATTTTGTCCATTTTTTAAAATAAATTTTATTTATTTGACAGAGAGAGAGAGCACAAGCAGGCAGAGTAGCAGGGAGAAGGAGAGGGAGAAGCAGGCTCCCTGCTGAGCAAGGAGCTGGACATGGGGCTTGATCCCAGGACTCTGTGATCATGACCTGAGCCGAAGACAGCCACTCAACCAACTGAGCCACCCAGGTGCCCCTTGACCATAAAAAAAAAAAAAAAGACTTTATTTACTTGGCAGAGACAAAAGGAGAGTACAAGCAGAGGGAGTAACAGGGAGAGGGAGAAGCAGGCTCCCGCTGAGAAAAGAACTGATGTGGGGCTTGATCCTAGGACCCTGGGATCATGACCTCAGTTGAAGGCAGACACTTAAACTGACTGAACCATCCAGGCACATCTATTTTGCCTCTTTTTTGATTCATTTGTTTTCTTATCAGATTTTAAGAGTTCTTTGTGTATTTTGGTCATCAGTCCTTTATCATATATGACTTTGAAAAATATATTCTCCAAGTCTGTGGTTTGTCTTTTCATTCTCTTAACATTATCTTTCCCAAGGAGTAGTTTTTAATTTTAATAAATCCAACTTACCAATTTTCTCTTTGATAGATCATGCTTTTGGTATTGTATTTAAAAATTCATTGCCAATCCCAAGGTCACCTACATTTTCTTCTGTGGTTTTTTCAGAAGTTTTATTGTTTTGCATTTGCCATACAAGTCTAGGATCCATTTTAAGGTGATTTCTGTGAAAGGTGTGAGGTCTGTGTTTACATTCTGCCTCTGCATATAGATGTCGAATTGTTGCAACACCATTTGGTGAAAAAGATAGTTTCTCCATTAAATTGCTTTTTCTCCTGGGGTGTCTGGGTGGCTCAGTGAAGCATCTGACTCTTGATTTCGGCTCAGGTTATGATTTCAGTGTCCTGGGATCGAGCCCCATGTCAGGCTCTGCACTCAGGGGGGAGTCTGCTTGAGAGTCTCTCTCCCTCTTTTCCTCTCCCCCTCGCCCAGTCATGCATGCTTGCTTGCTGGCTCTCTCTCTCAAATAAATAAATAAATAAATAATTTTTAAAAATTAAATAAAAACTCCTTGGGGCATCTGGGTGGCTCAGTGGGGTAAAGCCTCTGCCTTTGGCTCAGGTCATGATCTCTGGGTCCTGGGATTGAGCTCCGCATTAGGCTCTCTGCTCAGCAGGAAGCCTGCTTCCTTCTGTCTCTCTCTCTCTGCCTGCCTCTCTGCCTACTTGTGATCTCTGTGAAATAAATAAAATCTTAAAAAAATTAAAACTCCTTTGTCAAAGATCAGTTGACTTTGTGTGGCTGTATTTCTGCAGTCTTTATTGTGTTCCACTGATCTATTTGTTTATTCTTTCAGCAAAATTATATTGTCCTGATTACTGCAGCATTACAGTAAACGTCTTTAAGTCATGTAGTGTCAGTCCTCCAGTTTTGATCTTCC